AAGGACCAAAAGAAAATTAAGACAAAAAAATCTAATTAATGTTCTAAAAATATGATTTTTAGTCCTTTTTAATGAAAATTTATTGAAATGAAATAATATTTTTCACATTTCCCTTTTCTAAGTATAAAGATTAGCATTTGCTGCTTAGTTGGCAGAGCTAAAAAAAATTTTAAAAAAAAAAGCTTACTATTTTTAATTATAAAATTTGTTATTTTATCTATCATCAATTGATTTAAATTAGATGCTCTTCTTGTTTAAATAGTCATAAAATTTTTACATTATGTCTAATAATTAAAGATAATTAGTAAAATACTTAGAAATATTCATAAAAATATATATAATTCAAAGCTGAAAAGAGTATATAGAAGTAACATCTTGTTTTTAACATAATCTCCCTAAAAAAAAATAATTTTTGACTAATCTTTAATGTGTTTGGAACATGAATAGTTTACGGTTCAAATGATAAAGTGGATGAAGTGACCTTCATTTATTATCAAGGACCCTTCATTATCAAAATGTTTTACTTTTGATCTTTAATTCTATAAAAGAAATCAGCCTCAATTATGTTTTGCACCTTCTGCTAGGCCACAAGAATTTACTAAAAGGTAATAGGATGTTTCTGTAATATATCTGATTCAATTCTTCTCCTTAGCTTTTCTTTAAGTACCTTTCAAGGACAATTAACAATATATATATATATATATATGTGTGTGTGTGTGATTTTTGTGATATTTTTTATTGTTGAAGTAACTGATATTTTTTCCTTTTTTTATAAAATTTCTAACGACAGAGATGATATCTTAATTTTCATTTTCTTAGATATTTTATCACTAATATATTTAGTATTGTAAATGTAACATTATAAATACTAAATAAATAAAAATAATTGTTACCTCATTCAATAGTTGATTTTGATTTATTACGTCAGGAAACACAAAAACCTGGGTCATTAGAGGAAGCTCAAGTGTCCAAGCAGGTGCAAATGGGCGAGTTTCCTTAGCGGCGTGCAATGAATAACAAACCCGAACCAACTTCTCTTCTTCTCCCTCCCTTCTACCCGACTTCGTTCCCAAACCCTATATAACACTCTCCAGTCTTCTTTTTTTTTCTCATCTCCATTCACTGATTCATTGATTTCCTTGACCTCTGCATTTCTAAAGTTAACTAATTTGTTTACTTTTGATTTTTTCCAATCTAATGGAGACTAACTCTCGAACCCTCGAACTCACGGTATTGTCGGCGGAAGATCTCCGAATTAACAACAGAAATCTGAAAAAGAATGCCTTTGTCGTCGTCTCAATCGATCCCTTCAACCATCGGATGACCAAGACTGACGCCCAAGGCGGAGGATATCCTACTTGGAACGAGAAGTTCGTCATGGACTTGCCGGCCAGGGAACGGTTCATCACACTGGAAGTTAAATGCAGGACTTCTTCCGGAGATAGAAGGGTAGGTACGGCCAAGGTTCCGGCCGGTTTCCGAGTTTATAGGAGCGTATGTGCTGGAGAACTGCTTGCAGTTTTTAAGCTTCAGGTTCTGGGATGCGACAGGGCAGTGGAATGGGATCATAAATTTCTCGGTCAGAGTAAAGGGACCGGAAAGAGAGTATTTGCCGGCGACGCCTCCCGCAGCGACGTCGGGGATGGGAAAATTTCAAATTGACGCGACGGAGAATTTCGGTGGGGTTGTTACGCGAATTCCTGTTTGGAGTGTAACTCGTTAATAATGCCCTCTCTTTGGCATTGTGTATATCACAATACCGTATCGTACCGGCCGGTACGACTGGTATGTACCGATTTTGAAGGTTAACTGAAACGAAATAAGTTGTAATTCCGTTTCGGTCAAATTTCCGGTGTACCGGTCAAATTTCGATGTACCGGCCGAAATTTCGGGTATCGGCCGGTACATCGAAATTTGACCAGTACATTTTGCAAGAAGGAAAAAAAAAAAAAAAAAGAATCCCCAGCCAAAACAACGTCGTTTTGGCTGGGGGGTGGCGACAGGATACCCAGCGGCGGCAGTCCCTTGGAACTAGCAAGAGAGCCGCGGTGGGCGTCAGATCTGGCAGCCCTCGCGCGCGTCGCCACAGATCCGTCGGAGGAGAAAGAAGGCCGCCGGATCTGCACCCAAACAGAACAAGAAACAGCAAACAAACAAAGCAAACCAAAAAAACCCACACAAAACAAAAAACAAAGCCAGATCAGCAAGGGGATGGTGAAGATCCGAGG